GGCGCCCCCCCCCGCCCCCCCCCCCCTCGGTCCGCCACTGAGCTTGACCCGTAAGCCACCTATGCCGAGGCCTGTCTGAAACCATTCATTTATAGGTTTGACGGGGATCCCCCCCCCCCCCCCCTCCGCCACGTGTCATTCAAAAGGTCAACAAGTTTTAGTTCAGTATCACATGTTTTTCGTAACCATTTCCGGTGAGGTACGCCTCATTTAAGATGACTCAAAAGGTGTTCGGCGGTTTTTATAATACCAGAACAATGCAAGTTCGTCAAAATATATTGACCGCTTTCAGCAATAATTCAAAAATATCCTTCTTTAAGCTGCTTTCGCTACGCAAATTCATCAGGAAAGATTATAAATGATGGCTTAGAGTTCTTAGCTGCCGTTTGTTTCGCCGCGAAAGTATCGAACCCCAGTGTGCTTCTTTTTTGGACAAATCTATTTAGTATGTTCTGAATACAGTTTCAGTCTTATAATGTTGTTTCTTTCGAGATTGCTGAATTATAAATGGGATCACTATCGATTAGAAAACAGACTGAACTTGCCTTGTTAGATAGGCTACACAAACTTTTGGTACAGTTTATCACTTTTGTAACACGTATCCAGAGCTTGAACCTTCTTTTTTTGAAGTTCGGACCAAATATGGTACCAAGAAAACAGTCTTTTTTTGGAGATATCTGACCGGATAACGGAAATATACTAGAAATTCCGCAAGTAAAAACGTAACCCATAATTTCAACTACCGTCGATTCATTTGTGACTTAATATGTGAGCCTGCACATTACGCGACAACTGACGACACCTTACTAGTGTCGTCAGTTGTCGCGTGCCCTTCCACAGTTGCCGCTACGCTTGGTCTGCGTTTCTGTCGTGCAGACGCGTGGCTAACATGTTGGCAACATGCAACAACATGTTGCGGCTGAGGCTAATCGCCAAAATGTTTCCCCAACATGTTGAGTTGCAAACGTGTTGCTGACGTGTTAGCCACTCATGCTGCAGGTCAGAGATGCAGACCAAAAGTAGCAGCAACTATGGAAGAGACGATAACTTCGCAAATCCTTTTTAGCATGACAGAGTCTAGAGGCATGTGCACTAACTTTTCAGTTTTTTCTTTGTTTTTTTTATCAGTTTCTAATCTTACATGTCCTCAAGTAGCGCGCATGGTGTGCAGTACGCATCTTAAGTTACCAATAACTCTAGGATATGTGCTTCGTGGAAAAATGTAGTCTCTGGCGATCGCAGCCTTTTTCGTTTGCGAAGAAGCTCCGTCAGATTTCATCTAGTGACTCTTACCGCGCAGTAGCGTTCTATGATATTCGCGACAATTTTCGACGACTCATCGTAGCTATCGAAGGCGACTCGTTGCGACCAGATTGTTGTCTTTTGAGTCGACGAAATCGCGTTAGCCTCGCGATAGCGCGCTGATTGCGTTCTCTAGCGAATTGAGTTAGTGGAACACTGTAGTGTCATCTCCATCTTCTCATTCACATCCTGAACTTTGCAGTTTGATGATTTTTGAAAATTGCAGACTCGAGCAGCAGAAGATTTGATTTTGAAATTTGTCCACTGAGTATTACAAGGATGGCATGGCAGAATAAAGTAGGAGCAGGAATCATAAGGAACGGTAGTACGGGGGTGTCAAGGATGGCTTATGAGGCCTTCGGTTAGGCCATGCTATTCCTGCGTGTTTCCTGCGATTTCTGGAATTCCTTTACCTGTAAATCCAATTTTTGTGGAGCGTGAAAACTCCTGACCATCAAACGAGGCTTTGAATACTTATTAAAACAAACCCAAGAATGGTTTATACTAGTTCATTATTGGAGTCGTGCGCTGTGAGTCTGGGAGTTTCCGCGCTCTATGGATGAGAATCATTGCAGTTATTCCAGAAATCACGGAAATCACAGCATTAGTGGAGTAACATGGCCGAATTCTTCATTTCACGAGACACTAGAAATAAATCTCCACTTCTAAACATCGGAATCAAACTAAATTTTTCGGACCTAAGTTTTCCCCTTAAGCAAGAAAACTGTTCAACTATTGCACATGATAAGGCAACAAAATGTTTCTATCTTTTACCTTTTTCCTCATACTCTTCAGTTTTTAGATTTTTGCAGCAAATGTGAACTTGTAATCATAGCAGCACAACACCATACTTCACATCTTGACAACAGTATCATCTAACTGCGTAAGATGATAATCGGCATTCACTTAGAAGATGCTGCGACCAAGAGCCGGTAGTGATTTTCTGCGAGTCACTTTTACATAAAGATTTTCATATTGGTAACACCCGATGGTGGCGATTGCCACCACTAAGTCCGAAAAGGTCAAAAGGTAATAATATAATTTCACAAAGGATTAAATTATTTTGAATTACAAAACAATGATGATTCTAACAATTTTTGCTTCGTAGTGAGTTGACATGTTTTATTTCATTTCCTTTGAATTCATATAACTCTATTCACTATGAACTCCTACAATTTTGTTCAAAATTGGGAACAGATCAGCTCCATAAAATTCTCTGACCGCGATGATGCAACCCTGATTGTAGTTCTTCACCGGAAATGTATTGCTAGGGATCTCTTTGGTTTAAAGATTCTATAACGATAGACGGATGGGAGGTCAATGTCATAGATTTCGTTGCAATTTAATTCTAAGGTTTTACAAGGAAAGTACTATTGATGACCTTTGACATGACACGTACATTAGAGTGGCTCAAAGTACCTGTTCGGAATCCCCAGTTTCCTGAGAGTTGAATATAATTCAGTGACTGCTGAACTCCCTCTGCTGTCAAATTCAATTCGGAGAAATCCCTAGTTACCTCCAAAACTTGAAAAGAACTTTTTTGGGTTGCTTGCTAAATGTTTAAATCATCAGTGTAGAAACTGTCTGTTTTATGGTGCGGATCAGGTCAATGCTGATCACTGGTACATACCACTCTAAATTTATTATACAAAAGAGTATGCAAATTCTGCACTGATTGTTATGATTTAAAAACAGCAATAAAACAGTTATTGCGGAAATAATGTTCATAACCTTTTTACCAAAAATTGTTCGGACAACGAGAACAGATTTGGATTAGACTCTCTCTTTCTGTAATGGACCTAACATTCCAATGAGGTATTAGGTTGTCCCTTGAGTCTTTTCATATCCGACTTTTCAGCGATATAAGTCAGTCCTTCTTAGATTCTAAATAGGATGAGGGGTCCATTCGACAGATCAAAGCAAGCTCTACAAGAGTGAATTCAAAAGTTCGCACCAAGTTTGGTCCACATCAAGTTTTACCAGAATAAACAAATTCGAATTCCCGAAAACACGAAAATAATCGTATCTAAGTTTAAGAAAACTGCAAATTTCCCACTGTCAATTTAGCTCACCATATACTCTGCCATGAGATACACTTGCTGCATTTTTCTGGCTAGAAATCGAGAGAAAAATAACGAGCTAAATTTTCAAACTTTGCCTGTAGCGGTTCTGTGTTCCTCGCGGATATGTGATAATATAACTTATTCGCTCAGATATACTGCCACAAATTTGCAACCTTGAAGGTGCCCTAAATCTTAGCAATATCAATTCGAAGGCTCGAATATGAAAAGATTTATGAGACAACCTAATATCTTAGTGTATCAAATTGTGTACAAAGTGCGTAGACTTCAATAGACCAGAACTGGGCATCAGAATATTCAAAAAATTTCCATAGCTCAATCTGATACAAATGAGCATTCAAGCATCCCAGCAATCCGAATACTGTGCTGCCACAAATTTGCAACCTTGAAGGTGCCCTAAATGTAAAGACGTAAGAGCACGGATGAAGATTGAATAGAGTAGTGTGGATCAATAAAGGGAGTGCTCTCCTAAGGAAATTGTAATATCATAAATCAAGAAATGATTAGATATTTTGATAATACAAGCAAAGCAAGTAAATGAAGTGACTGTATAATTTGAACTAACGGTCAATGACTTCCGACCTGCTATGGTTACCCCTCAGGTCCCGGCAGGAGGTGGCATTTCAGAATTTTGAAAACGATATCCCCTTTGAAGCCAAAATTTCTTACGACTTCCCCTTTGACCCCATTTTTGACCCCCGTAAGTCCCTGACAAACAGATATGCACAAATAATAAGATGGGCGGCCTTAGCGCTTATTATAATAGTACTACCTGGCTTTCCTGGTCCAGCCGGGGTCATCAAGGTTTCAGCTCAATGGGTTCATCCTCAAAGGAATCTATAAAAAAAACATAGGGTCAAGATTTGCACAAACTTTGACGTTTATATATCTAAGATGCTACTCATTTATTAGTCAGCTGCGAAACTTTACAATTTACAATAACCGATTGCGATTGGAGCGCGCTTTCCGAGGCCGATCATAACGCTGTGAACCCTATTTGGGGCTGCATCGAAGCGGTGCCTTGGTGGTTTTGGAAGCGAATTTGAACATATAGTAATACTCTCGACCTAGTCCTCATTTATGTAAAGAAATCCGGGAAATTATGTGAAGGGAAGCAGGGAGCCACCCCAGGTGGCTCCTAGGTGGCGCGGGAGCCACCTAATTTCGAAAAACACTTGCCATTTTTTAAATTCACATAAGTTTCTCATAATTCTTCATACTTTTTTTGTGCTCATGGTCCTCCAACTACATAGCAAATTTGGTGCCATATCGTTACTTGTGCATTGAAAACGAGCCTATTTTGTTATTTCCCTCTTACAAGAATTGCGATTTGAATTCCCGCCTGCGGGCAGGCTAGCGATCGGAGCACAGAATCTTCACATTGCTGGAATCTAAGTTCATAGGACAGTAGCATCAACAAGGAATGATGAATAAAGAATGATATGTGCATTGTTTATCGGTAAACAAAGGGGAACCCCAAAATACGACTTCCCCTTTGCTTTTTCGGGCTAAAAACGATATCCAGCTTGTGAAAGCGCCACCCCCGCCGGGCCCTGTTACCCCTCCCCCGCACATGCGCACGCAAAATAGACCCGTGAAAAATATTTGGCTTTACAGATTTATGGACTCCCCATATGAGAATCGTTTAGCGCTTGGACAGTGGCGTGGCGGAAGAGACTATACTGCGAGCGATAACGCGTTGCAGGTTGGTTCAGCCAGTGATCAGTGTGAAAATCCAAGCTTGAACAAAACATTCAGAAAGATTCTTAGAGTTAAGACTGTGCAGCAAAATAATAACTTTTTGGGCTCTAGAGCTCTGAATGATTAAGTGTTAGGTGTACAATACGAGTCTCATGAACTGTACAAACGGAAAAATCGATTCATTGTCTTCATCGATATTATCAGCAAACTAATCAAACTTGATCATGAGAATGCCGCTCTTTTCATTCTCATCTTGAGATACTACCAAAGTTGGATGCGTTTATTTCAACAGCGCTGCTCCTCTCATTGAATCTCATTTCAGAAGGACAAAAAGGATTCATTGCCAATGAAGCGGTTCAAGCCGTGTTACTACAGTCCTATTCAATGTCTGATCAAGAGGAGGTAGAGATGGGACGTCCCAAATAATTGCCAGACTATACACAAGTGATCTCATTAGCACCAACGCCCGTACGTTCGTGAACTTCTAACTCAATTTGTCCCTTCAGTGTCGCTTATTGTGTTTTTCAATGCACCTCGCGTGCCCTCGCTTTTAATTCACTCGTAATCAAATACGCAAGAATTAAAGTAATTTGATGTTGTTTGACAGCTTTTTTGGTCGAATCCACAATCAACGACTATTGCATTATCATGCTGATCAAGATGTATCACCGTAAGCTGAGAGACCAAAATAGATTTCTTTGATGAAGACATAATGATGCGCATTGCTGTTCGAAGGTATGCTTTTGTCTCAAATGGCAACTCTGAAAACTTATTTGTCACATCGCAAATCAAAACTCGATTACATGCTGACATGCATAAGGTATTCGTAATGCACATACGGGAAAAGGAAAAATGGCGTTACTTATACACAAAGGTCTTCAGAGTCAGGATTTCGGGAACCAAGAATACAAAAAAGGATCGTGTGTGCTCCGAAACTTTCATCATGTCCAGCTTGAAATCACCGTCCACCACGGCCAAGCGTCTTGGAATTTTCTTAGTAAAAGAGATTCAAGCGATTAAGTATAGTCGCCACTGGATTCTGTAATAAGTATGATGACATTACATCAGACACCCCATAGAGAAGAATCAGAGGTAGCGCCCAGCACACTTGAAACCGAATAAAGCTGTATATCGTTTCCAGCAAAGGGTATATCATTTTTGTAGGATTCGCGCAGAATAGCCGCATGCGCGGTATGCCACTGGTATACTTTATGCCAGACAAAAAGCGTTTGTTTTCAACCGAAACGCAATGGTATGACACCATTTGGTGCGCGCATGGTGCGAATATTTATGGAAACTACATGAATGAAAGTCATGCTTAACTTTTTTCTGAAGTAGGGGAGCCGTTCCAGCCAGGGCTCAGCACAGGTGGCTTAAAAGCAAGCTGGATATGGTTTTCAGAACGAAAAGCAAAGGGGGTTTCGTTTTTGTGGCCGAAGAGATACAAAAATTGCGACGTTTTTTTGGTCGAAGTTTCGTTTTCTTTATTAAGATTATGGTTTAGGATCAAAGGGGACTTCGTAGAACTGAAAGTTAAGGGGACTTCGTTTATTTTGTATTTTCGGAAAGCCACCTGGTGCCGAGCCCTGGTTCCAGCTGGGTTCCAGCTCTTTGTCAGCTGGAACAGACCCTTTGCTTTACAAATTTTTATATTGTATTCGCCGTGAAAGTTTTCATAGGAGCGAAAAACCATTTCATATTCATTGCTCTAGGCTTTTTTATAGCCCTCAAAAAATTGGTATCGTCCAATCGCAAAGCGCGCCCCTAACGAGGGAAGGATACTAGGTGACCGTGGCCTTTTGCAATGAGATGTACACCAGTAGATGCGTCTTGGTAAGCTGATTCTAGATTTATGTTACATATCTGCTGTGCGACTTTCCTGAGCGAAGTTATAGACTTTTTTCCATATTGATTTTGCAAAAATTAGGCAGTCAAAATCGTCAGTATCCAGGCTTTTAGACTCTGATGTATCGGTGACAGTTTTCCTGAGCTTAACGTGAAGCTTTACTTTATCTGTACGCTTTTTTGTAGTGCGTAAGCGAACATTCTAACGATATTGGTGAATCCTGCACCAACAACAGCGCAAATTTTGGTGACAAGAAATGTTCGTATCTTCTTTCGGAAGAGCGCACAGCAGATAATGAAAACATATTTGGAATCAGCGCTTCAGCATGCATTTAATGGTGTACGTCTCTGTCCTTAGTTATGCTTGCCTTTCTAGTTCCTTTTCTCTTCTTGTGTTCCCCTCCCCCCTCTTGTTATACATATCTGTCATTATACTCGAGGGGGGGGGGGGGGAGGGGATGTGGATGAGATGGGGAAGGAAGGGGGAAATAATTGGGTAGTGAGTAAGGGCCGCATGCACTAACCTCCCCGCGGGGAGGTTAGTGCATGCGGCCCTAAGGGAGATGTTGGAGGGGCAGTGCTGGACCAGTAGGTTTCAGGCTCCGATCATGCTACAAAAGCGTTCCGCACATGATAAGTAATAAATTATTTTTGCTTTCTGTTTAGTATATAGTGAAGGAGGGGGTTCCAGCCCTATACCTTCTATTTTGGGGTGAGGACAGCACAAGCAAAAAGAGACAAGTGAGAAGTAGCGAGGGGCGGGGGTAAAGTTCAAAGGGGACTTCGCAAGAATTTTACAGAATCAAAGGAGTCTCAAAATCTCCCTGGTTCCTGCTGTTACCTAGCCTTGATCCGAGGTCGGAATTATGCAGGGAGCATGTGTACCATAAGATACATCTCAAAACGTCGATTCTAAATCTGCCCTCGCTATGCGAAACGATTTTCTGAAGAAATTCTGAACGTTCTAATAAAATATGTGTGCTTTTGAATAGTAGAAATCACCATTGCTGGTCTAGATTACCGTTTGATGGTATCAAAAGAAAATCCTAGACAAGGTACTGTCGTATTAACACTAACTAATTTGTATTTAGTAATTCAAAATGCAAGAAAATTTCCTTTTGATGGGTTTGACCCTCCGCAGTACTGCAATTTAATCGTGAAAATAGTCGTAGCTCCATCGAATTATCTTTTCGCAGGTATGGAAAACAGTCGAACCATCATTTAAAGGCGCATTTTTTGATCTACACTTCACTTTGAACGCCATGGTCATCAAGTATCCTTCACTTGTAAGCGGTACGAGCACGCTTTGCGTACGTCTGATTAACAAGATCATGAATGCGAGTTCTGAAGCATTTTGGATGCTTTACTACTAGGACTTCTCAAACATGTCCTATACATGCCCTCATAGTAATTTACCGAGACGCGTTAGAACGCGCTCATGAACTTCTCGATCAGACGTACGCAAAGCGTGCTCGTGTCTCTTGGTCACAAAATGAATGATCACATAGTTGGGAGTGACATTATCTACATATCATACAAATTTATTGTCATATGATCAACTGTGCCTTGTAAGCAAGGTATCCATTTACTTTAACCTTAATTCAAATGTCGCGCTTGTGACAAACAACACATTGGAACATGCCAGTCATGTACCAACTAGAGTGTAAGGCAGTTGAGCTTGTCTGAAGGTCAGGTATATGTTTGATCGGCTCCCAGATTCGTCTGGAGGCGGGTAGTGGATTTCCCTGATTTTAAGGATAAGCTTGACGAGAGAGTACGAAATACCATGCTATAACGCGGAGGTTTAACAAGTTTATCCTGAAAATCAGGAAAGTCCGCAACCCGCCTTCACACGAATATGGGAGCCGATGATATACGCTATCTTATATATAAAGCTGAATGTCTGTTTGTCTGTCTGTCTGTATGTCTGTCTGTATGTCTGTCTGTATGTCTGTGTGTACGTATGTTCCGAATAGAAAATTCCATTTCTGAACTGATCGGGACCAAACTTGGCACACATACACTTCGGGCCCCGGCGGGTGTCATAGGCTACTTTTCGTATCGATCGATATCGATTTTATCGATTTTTTGCAAAATTTGAGCTACGGGGCTGGGAGTTGGCACAAGGGGGTAAGTGAGCATGGGGATTCCGTGGTTAAAAAATGGAATTTTCTATTCGGAACATACGGCGGAGCCGGGTAAGCCATCTAGTTTGCTTCTAAAACAAAGTCTAGTGTGATCAGCCATCTGTGCTGTGCCTTAGTACAACAATGTTTTTGCGCGCTAGCTTGATCAAGTCTCCACTACTCTTCACAGAAAGGAGCGCACCGTTCCCCCTCCCTCCCCCTCCAAATTTTGAAGGCCCATGCAATTGCATTCGATGCTTACCATTATAATTCTCCCAACTGCGAAGTATCCTTACAGTAAGTTCATTGCTTGCAATTTTTTTCACACTAGAACAACATTCAAAAAAACTGTGACACCGTACGTTTAACAGGTAGTATACATCACTACAATGCAGGCAAACGGGTGAATGACAGGGAATCACAAAAGAACAACCAACTCATAAGACAACAAGATGGAGAGATGACTACCGGATAATGTAATGACAATGTACTTGCAGTGTTAAACAGCACACTATACCAAGAAAACAATATGATGATGTGAGAACGACAAGTTAATGAAACTGCTGAAACTGCAGGTAAACATTGTACACAAAGCTCCAAATATACAGTCCTCTATTCTACAGGTATAGAAAATATGAAAAAAGAAGTCCGGATATAGTTTTAAACGTACCTTGCGGCAAAAACAGTGCTAAATTACGAAGACTATCAAAAGAACATAAGAAAATAACAGAAAACATTTCACAAGCGAAAATCTAAATATGGCAATCAGAAAATAGCCGAGTCTGCTTTCAGATTTACACAGATTATCGTCATTAGTAAGTGAACAGTAGAAGGTACCCCTTTACAAATGGAGCTTCAAGCAACTAAAACCTGAGAAATTCCAAAGATAAAACTATTTGTCCACTCGTGGGCAAAAATGCAAAATTCCTCCAGTAGAAACAATCCTAGTTGGCTTCTTGAATCGTTTCCTCTGCAGCTTTTTGTTTGCGTTTCTTTAAAAGTCTGTTGTTTGATTCCGCCAAACTCTTTATTTGCATATTTTCGTTGCCAACACGCATTGATGCTAACGTTTTCTCCATCTCATCCTGCAAAAGCGCTGCATTATAGAAGATTTTTTTACGAATTTTTTGATTTTTTGTCATATGTTTTTTCAGTCCGTACAGCAATGCAGCTGAGGCATAGAAATTGGGACTGTGTCGTCAAAAACAACACAGATTTATGATGAGCATAAACTTCCTAGACTATGATACTCGAGTACGCTTTAGCGCCAGGCATACATCACGCGATAGCATCTGCTCGCGATTCTCCCGCCAAGACAATTGTTACGAACTCATGGCAAGCTATTCATTTTGCATTTAGGTTGTGATAGTCAGCTGCGATTAGTCACATCGAAAACTATCACTACTGAAATGCGAGATGGTCGGCATGCAAGGACTCGTAACAGTTGTCTTTTAGGGGAATCGCGCGGGGATGATCGCGTGATATATTCGCGGCCCTTTTAGCACATTGTCCAAACAAGCTTGGACTTGTTCTTCCCTGGTTCCAAATAACAAAATCTTTAATGAGATAGATCACAGGTATGAATATGTTTACCACATGCTCAAGTCTATGTAGAAATGGCATGTAGTGTAGTCAAGTCTCCTAATCACGAAAAAGATGATACTTGCACAAACCCATTATAACAATGGATCAACTAAAAATCGGTCCACCTGGTCAAAAGGCGCATCTTTATCTGTGAGAATGACTACCTTCTTGCTCTTTGCGACATAATAGCAGCGCTCTCAACTTTTAATCCTATCTAACTCTAATATACTAGGCCAAGAATGACGGTGATTTTCATAACTTTAGAAACTGCTGCGTAAGGTGATGCTAGGATAACAAAAAAAAAACAAAAAAAATTACATATGTTACCGCTAAATCTGTAAACTTACAAATTCGGCTGTAGCATCACTGCAGGTCACGAATATATTTTCAACTATCACAGATGCGATACCAGAAAGAGCAACATTTCATATAAGTGTCACTATCTGCATGTGAGGACTGGCAAACAAATAGCCCGTTCTTCCAAATTTGCAACCTGACGGGTCTAATTTGTCATCAAAAGCAGTCCATACAAAAGCTTAAAGAATCGATTTTCTCAAAAAAAAAAAACAGGAGTGAAATCGCCTGCTAAAGTCTGCTCAAAAAGAATCACATGTTTTCTACCCACTTACAAAAGCTTTGGTCTAAAGCAATTCGATAGATTATATGCAACAGACTACAGATCTGCAGCTGCGTCTCACACCTAACATAGCTTCGTCACAACAGAGAATAAGTGTTCCAGTCTGAGTTTTGATTCAAATTTTCCATATGGATCAGCAGAACTTTTGATGGATATTACTACTTTGAATGACATCACTTTCTGGTTATGATGCGGTGATGATGTTGTTTCCGTCTAGTCTGACTCGGTGAAAGCAGCGGCACAGCAAATCGATCAAAGACACGATAACCAATCCGCATGCGATTTACGTTTCGATTACTTTTGTTGCAAACAACTATATGTTGGCATCATATGCACATCAGCCCATTCTCGCTCACTCAATGTCCCATAGTGGGAATCAACATACTGATAAACCTCGAAATGGTAGAAATTCGCTACATAAAAATGCCATGTACTTCTTATCAAAACAAACCCCAAAGGAGCGTTTGAACACACTACGCAAAAATATTGTCTGAAGTCGTAGTGATCATCAAATACCCATCACAGACTGTTCACAAAAAGCAACAAAAAAGTTATACTCATTGAAAGGACCTACCTGCATCTCACCCCACTGGGCTTTCTGATCGACAAGAACGCTGCTAGTGAAGAGAGGAGTGTCGGGAACCTGAAAAGAAAGTCAACTTACTTAAAGTAGAACAACGCTACATTTTTCAACAACGGAAAGGAGCACCTCCAGAGGCGTAATTTCACGAAAGGACACACCTGACCCTCATGTGGATTGTGTTCTTCACAGATAATTCAATGTACCATAAATCTTTACTATGTTTACGACACAATCGAAACAGGGAAAAGAGGGGAGTGAGATGATATACATCGACAAAAGAGAGGATTAAATACCTTTTGGTAGTGCGTTATCCATTTATGATGCATAGTTTGTTCGATTGTGATCCTTTCAGCTGCATCTGTCTTCAACAGCTTTTTTATGAGATCCTTTGCTGAAAGCTGCACTATGAGATTAAACTAACGCTGTAATCAAGATGTCTAGATGCGGGGCAATCGATAGCTACTAAAAGGAAAAGTCGAAAGGCAATTTCATATTACCGAGATCAGCTATCATTAATCAACGAGGATGCTATGATTGTATACACAAACTTATAAGATTTGGAGCTAGCTTTCCAGCGGGCATTTAGTGAAAACGTGAGTGGATATTACAGGATAAGTATGACTCTCTATGCAAGAGAAACGGGCAAAATAGCTTCAAAAAAGAACAGAAAAGTTGTTAGCTCTCAAAACCTCACCGGCCTCCGATACGCAATCCCATTCGGGAGATGGAAAGGAGTATTGGCCAGACTTTATCTTAGCTTTCATGCCTGGTGACATAGGGAGACCATGTTGTGAAAAGAAGGGAGGATAACCGCATAACCTAAACACTTCGTGATGCACTACAGCAACTGTGAACTAAAAGATCTGATCATTAACTATGCAAGAGAAGTCCTGAAAAGCTTACACAAAAAAGCAAAATGTATGAAGCATTTTTTTCAAATCTGTAAGTTAATGATAACTTACAATATGTACATAACAACTCCTATGGACCAAAGATCGCAGGACTTGTCATACTTTTCCGCACCAAGTACCTGAAGAGAGGAGGCCAAGATTTATTAAGATAGTTTCATAGCTTCAGGAACATACTTCGGGAGCACAATAGTATGGGGTATAGCACGCAGTCGCTAATCCTAGCGGCTCAGAATCATCTGTTCTTTTTGCAAAACCGAAATCGGTTAGCTTGAGACGAGCGTTCGTGCTGTTATCCCTTAAGAAACTACATGAGATCCATATCTTTACATATAAAAGTAGAGGCGTAAATCATATATAAGCCATAAAAACACGTACACATATAGAAGGTTCTCAGGCTTGATATCTCTATGCGCGATGTTCATTTTGTGCAGATGAGCAACAGCAGAGCAAACCTCAAACATAATGCCGGCTGCTTCCCTCTCAGTGAAAGCTTGTTGACCGCGTTCCTGAAAACATAACAGAATTTATAACATAGTTTGGGTTGATTCTATGAAGGAGTGCGCACCTGGATCCGATTAAACAGCTCTCCACCTTTCATACTTTCCATTACTACAAGAAGACATTGCACGTTGTTATAGGAATTTTCATAGACGTCAACGATTTCAACAATGTTTGGATGTCCGCTGGCCATGTAGTGTAAATCGACCTCAAAACGCTTTCTTGAGTTAACGTCACTTTTACAGCTTTGACGACAATTGCCATTACACTGCCAATTTGATTATTGGTGTGTTCGAACGAGTTCACAGAAACCTACAGTAGCATCAGTTTACAAGAACGAGATCTAGATTAGTGTGATTAGAGTCGATCTAGAAGGTATACTTCATGAAAAGCTTGGAAATTGATTTGGATTTGATTAACATATTCCGAATCGCGTACGTTAATAAAACTGGGCTTTTCCATATCTCTGCGAGCACATATATTGTGCGGATAGTCATCTTCAGAAGAGCAACTCATATATAATCGAGTTCAGTTCGATAACGCAGAATTTCTCGCATTTCTTCTGAGCACTATGAGCTGCCACTCCTACACGGCAAGTTCTTCGTACATGAAGAAAAACTGCTTGTTTCCGACAAAATTGCAGGCATGGAAAGCAGTGAACCGCACAAAGCTCTACGACAGAAATAAATCGATTCTACTGCCACTTCAATACTCTTCCCTTATATACTCGAATGACATCAACAATTATGATGAAATTTGCGGAAAAAGCTAGCTAACACATCCGACTAGGGTGGAGGACATTAGGTCGCCGAATTTGGAAGAGTCCCGCGCGGATTCCCTGCAGGAACGCATGTCCGCGCATGTACAAGGGTGCGTATTTGTCGCAAATGACCGCAGGGACCGCCCTTTTTCGGCGACCTAATGTCCCCCACCCATCCGACTACATTCTTGAACTGACGATAAATTCAGCGTCTCACCATATTCTGCATTAACATTCTCAAATTTGCAAGCGCCTCCATCAACCAACATTCAGCGAGCAAGTTAGGGGTGATGCAGTAAACAAAGGAGAAAAATGACTTGAGAATAGGAAGTGAGAACTTTACCTCACGCCTGGCTTTCGGTATATCACGCAGTACCTTGAGAGCGTATTTCTCTCCCGTGATTCTATGCTCGCATTCAACCACTTTTCCGTTGATTCCAACCCCGAGCACCTAGAATATGTAGAGTAGACCGAAAGGAGTATAAATATATTGGATTGAAAACTAAGTTCTGCAGCTGAATCCCTAACTGTTCATACTTTGATTTTTTGATGTTGTGTAGGTTATGATGTGAGCTATAAACTGGCGCGAATCGCTTGCAAAAAAACTCAAGCATTTATCTTCACTGGCCTACATAATGGCGGGTATAAAGGTAGAAAATACTTCGAGGAAAAGTTGCAAAACCTAGTTTCCACCCTAATACCTAAAGCAACATTATACACGAATATTCGATGGACTAAGCGATACCGGGTTCGAAAGTTTTCTGCAAGGGCAGGCAACTTAAAATCAGCCACCATACTGACGCAGATTGGATATATCTTTTGTATACATAAAGCTGAATGTTTGTTTGTTTGTGTGTATTTATGTACGTATCCCGAATAGAAAACTCATATCTGAGCCGTCCAGACCAAGCTTTGTACACACATTCTGGAGCAGCGCTGATACATTTATATAGTAGGTTACTTCGTAAGTGATCGATATCGATTTTATCGACATCTCCGAAGTTTCAAAGGTGTCTACTACAAAAGAATAATTGGGATAGTTGTGATTCAGAATCACTTTTATCTGACTACTGCAATGTGCTAGTTCTAAGTATAATATCCTCCAAATTACACTGGTTGATCTCACATGCAAAAACTATCAAGCAACTCCAGTAAAACTAAGCATCTTGAATGATAGCACAAAACAGTCGTTTGCTTAGAAAATGTGTACTCTTCTCGGATTTTCGTTTAAAAAAAACGTGGAAAATGCTTCTTGCTCGAAAAAGCATGAAGCTTCTTCCGTACTCTGAATTATGCTCAAGCATACATTTTGATCAAAAATTTTTTTGAAAATTTGGAAAAAACAAAATCGCAGGCTTGAAGTTTGAGCTTTGCATACAACTAGAGGAGATGTGTAGGTCATTCATAGAACAGCTGCGATCGTGAAGTACGGTTAGAAACAAATCTGTCAAGTCAAACTATGGCGTATTATGCAGCAGCCCTCGCTTCTGCCATAACGCGAGCAGCGAAAAATCAGAAAGAAAAAAGGATAATCAGAACTTTTCTTACCTTCCTGCTTATGCGGTAGTCTTGTGTGACAGGGTACGTGTGATAGGACATCTCCACCGATCCCCTGCTCAGTTTTCGAGAACCAGCGCCGGATTTTGACTTCGACGGAGATTTTCGTTTACCTGTCTAAAGCAGTAAGATGGTTGATACTACCTTGGGGTTTTGTGATCCAGGTTAATGACGAGTGCTTCACTCGACAAAAGGAACTTAGTGCTGAAAGAAACCAAAACTAAAAGTAAATTAGAAAAAACAGAGGAAAGCTACGAAGATCTCCAATCACAATGGCTGAATCTTTTTCCACACAAGGAAGGCATCGTGAGGCAGGCGCTATACTCAATCCGTAACCCGGTTCACAGTTCAAACAAATGTGCTACGCCAACGAGAATTACAAGGTGTCACATGAAAAACAAATAAGATAGCCCTTCATTATTTGGATATGAGTGAGATTTTCCGTGGTAAGTGAAACATTGCTTAGCGAATTCTTGCCGCATCCACTACGCTTCGATTGACAAGTACTCATCATTTAGTCCGCAAACTTTGCTGAACCGTATCACAGATTCAGTACGGAGGTTGTAATGGGCCAAGAGTACATGTTTACGTATTTTGAATCCACATTCGATTGAAATTTGGAAGCGGTCGCTTTGCGCACGCAGATTTTAGCGGTAAGGCACCCGCCATACTTGATCCGCTTAATCCACTTTCCGCTTCATCATTGGTCAATTCAGTGAACTGACCAATAGTGAAGTGGATGAAGTGGAGAAGTGGATCGAGCGGATCAAGCGAACAACTGCTTCGCTATTGCTCAATTCACTGAACCGACCAATTACGAAGCGGATCAAGCGGATCAAGTGGATTAAGCGGATCAAGTATGGCGGGTGCTTAAGGCTAGGTTCATACCGATCAGTATGTTCCGGGACTGTTCCAGAATTTAGGGATCAGTATGCCCAACCTAACCCCTCGAATATTTGCAAGTCTGGCGATTCTAGCAGGTCCATCAATGGATGTTATAGTAATAAATAAATACCGCGCTATTTCTGGATTTTCGCAACCGTTGAACGTTCTCGTCCGCAATTCGGATCAATCTGGACTCACTAGAATCAGAAGAGATTATTGCAGATATCACAGATATCAGATACCACATACGATGCGCTGTGTACCCAAGAAACTTGCAAATTTTGGTGACTGAAAACTCGACAATATCAACCCATTAGAATACCAGATGTGTAATGAAAACGTCGTTGGAAGAGATTTTCACCCCCATTCCTTCGCTATGCTGCAAAACAAAAAAGTCCAGAACAGCTGTAGCCACCGGGAATCATTAACATTACTTACAGCAAAGTTGTTCATGTAAAACGTAATCTGATGAAGTTTTGATGAAAGGAGGAAGAGAAAAGGGACTCCTGCTTTCACGATGCCTTACTTGAGACAAAAGACCTTGAGAGACCCTCAATGATGAATAAACTGAATTTCCAAGTGCAAAGGAGCTGAGGTTGACCACAACATTTTCACAAAAGCTTCAAATGGGAGTTGCGCGTAAACATGCCACACGTTAGCAATGAGAAAGTTGAGTGACGCAGAGTGAACATAGAACATGACGTCACTTAGGGAGCAGAATACCTTTTGTGATGATGGAGACTTCTCTCTGTCGTCAGTCCGCGTCGATTCGATATTACCCATCAACACAACTAGAATGGTAAACAGAACACAAGCCACAATAACTACACCGAAACAGTGAACGTGCTCTTCCGCAGCGATAGGTAGGCTTGAGACAGCTTGTGCCACCGAAAAATTATAGAGGCAACCAAGTGAGAGCACTAAAATTGACGAGAATCGTGGAAGAAAGAAGTGCAGACCAAACAACACCGTACGGCGAACCAAACAAATCAAATTATAGCAGTGCACGAGGAGGCAACTCAAGGCAGGGGAAGATTTGCTGCGGCAATGCTCGAGAGGAATGAGTCATTTTTGCTGTCGCCGCCGACGACCGCGACATCAGAGACGCAGGTGACGCGAAAGTCCCACCCCAGCATCGCGTGCTTGCCGCTAGGCGTTTGCAGAACGCTAGCGGGCTGCCCGCTCTGCTTTGCTTTTTGTAATGGACGGCCGAAAATGATAGAAAAAACCATGCGATTTGCACCAAACTCGCAGACATAAGCTCCGGGACGAGGCGCACGTTGATAAACAATTAATCCCTGGCCATACCGCCACAAATTCATCGCGGCGCGATTAGCGCAGGAAATTGTTATACGGAATGCATCCGGCAAATCATCCTTCCAAATAATTCGTGCCATCGAAGTGTTTATTGAGATTGTTCGAACCTCGTATTAACTGAAGAAGTAGTGTATTTGCTTGTTGTTCACAGTTTTGATCCATCTTTGAGTCCAGGTTTTCGGGATTGCTCACCTTTCTCGTTTTGCGTCTCTTCGTAATTTCCATGGAATGGTGACAAAGTCAACAGCAGGTTGACGAAAATTCGCGAAAAACTTAGATGATATTACTGATGTCGAACGTACGTCGACTCACCAACTGTGGCAAGGCGGATCTGTGATGATCAACAAAGATCAACGGATCGGATATACCTCAGCACACTGCAACCGCAACGAGCAGCTCGCGCATCTCCGCCTTGCCAAAGCTGACGGAGCCGGAGCCAGCGCTGCCAGTGCCTTACAGTCGAGTAAAATTCCGCTTAAAGGCAGTGTCCAGGCTAAACCTAACCCCCTCCGATTAGTGTCGGTCCTGAATGTAGGCCCCAGAAAAGGGGCATCTGCGTTGGTCCGGTCTTCTAACGTTGTCTCTGAATGGAGATAAGGGGCCTGAAAGTCCCTGGCCGGGCGGAGTCTGACTCCGCCCACCGGGGACTGCTCACTACCTTGTCAATACGTGCCTCCCGACACGTATTGATAAGGTAGTGAGCAGAAGCTGCACACTGCACACTGCAATGCAACTGCACCCATGCAGTTGCAGCTCCTTCCTGCTGGCCCGCCGACGGGACGAGCAATTCGAAACTCGTCCGCGCCCTTAAGACTGGGTCCCCAAGAGTCGGGTTTTTTGTGAATTTTAGAGAGTTTGAAGTTCGGAACTGTAATCAGGGCCACGGAAAGGCCCCAGAATGACGAAAACATGAGGGGTTAAATTCTGGGTGGACGCTGCCTTTAAAGGCAGTGTCCGGGCAAAAACTCACTTTCTAGAAAATACACTTACTGGGAGTTATCCGCACGCTGAATCCGAAAATCCACATTAGAAGGCGCGAAAACGGCGAGAACATACGTTATCTAAAGTCGCACAATTTGAAACTCGATGGTCCCACCAACTCAGACATTCGCAGTTAAGTCCCGCCGGAGATCCGCCCACAAAATGCAAATTCGCGAGAAAACCGGGAGTCTTGCGCGACTCCCGGTTTTGTCCCGACTTTCGGGACAATCCCGACAGTTAAAAAGTGGCGGGAGATTACCGATGTCGGAAGTCGCGATCATCGATTTTGACGCTATTGCGCGTCAGTATCGATTCATTCCTATTTCCACACAGACTGCTTTTCCTCGCACACGACGGATTTTCTCGATATCACGTCTTTTTACTCTTTGACTGACTTGTATGATCCAGATCCAGATATATCGTGCCCTCCACAAATGCTGCCACCCCCTTGGTGTGCTCTCATACCAGCCATGTGTGGTAACATATTGGCAACGCGGCAAAAATATGTTTGCAACCTGCCACAACATGTTGACAGAACATCTTAGCCACGCCAACATGTTGTGACATGTTGCACCGCAGCAGCACCGCTTCTGCAGCAATTTTTCCATTTACGCTTTTGCCGTCGTCGGAGGTGGTTGTGTTCGCAACTTTTGATTAGATACCTCTAACCTTATTTTTAGCCGTCGTGATGCCTAGTATGCTATGGATCGAGATGACGGACGTTGGGTTGAAGGGTGAAAGTAGGTATTCTGAATTAATTATACGTAGATCATGTACGGCGCTCTTGCATAATTCCAAGTAAAATATGAGCTTCTAGCTGCGATTAATGCGATAATGAGTCTTGCTTTACGTAAAAAAAAATACACTTGCACTTAGGGGTTTCTACCCCTTGATATCTCAATGATTTAGATTCTGGCTGGGCCTAGAGAACGACGATGAGGCTAGGACGAAGACGTTTGACAAGTTGTCGGAGGCGAGGATGAAGCTTAATGGATTAGCACGAGTGGCTATAGGAAGAGCTTTGTGGGTTTCTTTCAAAGATAGTCTTCATGATCTATTGAATTTGAAGTTCAGAGGAGATGTGCGCGCCTACCATTTTGATGCTGATAAGGAGATGCTGTCGCCACCCTCGGTAATATTCATATATGATTTTTCAAATTAGTGTTAGATTGTTATTTTTTTCCAGAAAAAGCGTTTTTGCCCTGCTACCACGCAAGATTCTTTGGCGCACGAGCAGGCTAAGGAGTCGGAGCAGGAGCAAGACGAAGAGATCGAAAATATGAAGTCGATTTGAATTATGGATTCAATCTCACACATTGATCTCGACATTCCTGTTTTTTCTGTTAACTTAGTTATAGTGATTTCAATGTTCTTTTTCTGTCACGAATGCTAATAAAGAGTGTTACTGAACATGTGTCGAGCACAGCACCTTGTAAGATGTGTGTAGTACATTTGAAAGAGAACCAATTTGAGAAAAAGCCCAGCCGGAAGCTGATCGGATCGGTGCTATATCGCGTCTCCCGCAGGAGACTGCAGTCTAGAGCGGGAGTCCCGCCGGTGACCGAATCGCGACATTATCGGGACTCCCGCAGGAGCTCCCGGTTTTCTCAGTATAAAACATGTCGGGACAAAACCGCGTGTCGCGCCGCATTAGCCCGAACGAAAACCGGGAGTCCCGGTTTTCTCGCGAACCGTTTTACTTGTGTCCCGCAGTCATTCCGGCGGGACACAACTTTCTCACCGGCGGGAAATAACTGCGAACTGAGAAGGCAGAGACGCAGAGTCACTGCGGGACCCTACATTAACTGTGGCAGCATGCGTACGCTGCCGCATAAGGACCGGCAATACTGTTCCTGTGAGCAATTCCTGCGATTCCTGCGATCCCTGCGGATCCCGCAACAATGTAGACTGCGAAAAAATGTATGCTGATATTTGCAGAGCGCTCCGTAGTGCGGCACATCGGAAGTGAAGGGATCACAGGAATTGCAGGAATTACACGACTCGCAGGAATCACCTGCTGAAATAGTATGACCGGTCCCATAGCAGGAATTCGGGGAGACGGCCCTTCTGAACCCACCGTCTACTACAGTAACCCCGCAAGTAGGACGCGGGCGCCTGCGCTGCGGTCATTGCGGACGAATCTTGCGGAACGCTTTTTCGAAAGTCACTGCATTCGAATCTGAACGCATTAGTAATCCTCATCCTCATCTTATATTATACTAGCTGGCGTCCCCGGTCCAGCCCGGAAGGGAACTGGTTCGGCAAAGCACAAAAGTTTGTTCCCGCTTGTTAATAACCTACCCTCTCTTCTTGACTGTTACTTCATCTGCACTGCTCCTTCCTTTTCCATGTTCTTGCTCCAAATCGTGCAGCTGTTTCCGTGAAGGATCTTGTCTTTCTTTCTTGCTCTACCGCCGCAGAACACCGCATCCTCCTAGCTGCGAAGAGTAAATGAAACCCACCGCCCTCGTTTACGTTTCTACACAAATATTTGGTCAAAACATGAAAAGCTTTCATTTTCCTACATGTAAGTAAACAAATCAATAAATCGATGAAAGGATCCAGTGAATCGTCGCGAAAAGTATAGTCGTCCTCCCCTCACTAGACACCCAGGGGTAGGGGAACGAACGCCTCAATCAGGTATCGCCTTCGCGGGCTGCTGGTCCTTTCGTCCTACTGTTGTGCATCGTGTTGGGACCAGTGGTCCGCGGAGGCGGTGCCTAATTGAGGCGTTCGTTCCTCCACCCGACACCCAGTGGACGAATTCGAATTTGAACTAGAGCACGCCGGTTGCGGCAGAGCGCGGCACCGTCAAATTCGTTTCAAGCTCTTGCAGTGTTCTTTTGTATTTCTCGTCGTTGCATGGTAATTCATTTATCTCAATGGCGTTTGTAATCAGAATTGACGAGTTTGTTGTTGTTTAGCGATGTTTCATACGTTATGCTTCTCTCTAGCTCTATTTTCAAATAAAGTTGAAAAAACAGCACGAAACATTCCTCAAAAGCAATACAATCTCCAATCTCAACTAAGAAGACTGTTAGCATTCAAAAAATTGCATAAAACGTCGGAGAAATGCAAAGAAAACTTTGAGTTTGAATGAAAAGCCGAATGTGCCGCGCTCTGCCGCAACCAGAACGCTCCAGTTCAAATTTGAAATCGTCCACTGGGTGTCTAGTGGGGGGAGGACGACTATAGCCTATCTTTTGCGCCGTGCCTCATTTGTAGGGGAGCGAATTTCAGCCTCATCGGTTCACAAACAAACGAGTCTGTAGGCCACATACCTACATACGAACAAATTTACAGAGATCGAGTTTTATTTATATATAGATAGCATTCGAAAAATCGTGACGATGGCGCGACCGCGCGCGACACGCACGCCCATTTCTCGAAATCGAAAAGTTTTCTTGTTTTTCATCTCTAGTCGAATAGTTTTATTGCTTACGTCTAATAATGTTTAGACACTGGAAGTGGCTGAGTTGAACGTTGAGGTGATGCCTTCTGTATGAGCGTTTTATGCTCCTGAGGGCGCAAACTCGCAGTAAACCCGTCGTCACGATCTTATAAAGAACTACACCTCCTGACGTGCAGCCTACCTGGGACTGTGTTTATCAAACTCCCACTCGCTGTTTAGGCCATAATTAACGAGTGCCCGGACAGGCGAGAGCGCGAATCCCTTGATTCATTGCACTGTAGAATGTGCCGACATGGCCAAACTTGCCAGACCGGACCACATCTTCATTCAAACCAGGAGTGCTCGTATCTATACGGGCTGTGACTGTACAGGACCCCCTTCCCATATAGGAGATTGATAAATACCGCCCCTAGTGCACTAATTATATATAGGCGTCCCAGCAGTGTCTGTTGTGCAAGTGCACATCTGCTTGGCGTGGTCCTGCATGCGCGTCGAAGGGCTTGCGAGACCTTTTTTATGCATATTCTGGTCTATTAGAATCATGTTTACTTATCTCATACTTTTGTTTGGATGAACGTCAACACTGCGCCGTCCACATTACATGATGGCGGTTCGTGCTTTCAGACTTCTGCTTGTTATCTATCAATTTAGATGTTTGATGGTGGCCACTATAGCAGCGATGATGATGACGATGAACTTCATCTGTATGGCAATGTAGATGCACCAGCTCAAGATGTCGCAGTCGAAAATGTTATTGACGAGGATTCTGCGGATGAATTGGCTGCCTTGGATGCTGCTGTTAACGTGTGTGCACCTGGCAGTTCCCTTTGTCTAATCTTGAGCACTTGATTCAGCATAATATCCGAAATGGCGTCAGACAGTTCCTCCGAATCTTAAGCAGAAGGGTTAGTGCTGGCAATCGCGCTATCAATGTTGACGGGCATGATTCTTCTGATGAAACAGGCGATGAAGATGAAGAGCCCGAGCAGGAAACACACGAGGGCGAACCTAATAGGAATTTTGACGTGCATGTGAGTCGAGTGACCGTCAATGCGAAATCACTTGCAACTCGGTTCGTTCCTAGTTTCAGCTATTTAGGAATCTTCAAAGCATCAGTATTTGTTCAAACCAGCGCATGCCTCAGAAGAAGTTGATATGGGAGCTACGATGTGGCTTCAGCCTGGGAAGGAACACCTTGTACCCTTCATAAGTTGGGATTTGGTTGTGTTACCAGGTTAGCTCATGAACCTTTCCAAAATATGTTTGCGACATTCGATACCATTGAGGGTTCTATGCATACTCGACATGACTCTTTGAAATGCCTATTTCATGAATTTTTTGCAATTCGACCACAGCCTTTCATTACCAAGTAAGATCCAACATCTCTATGACTATATTTTCGTCCTAAAGTGGTACACAGCAATCGGATCGTTTGCGAAAAACCTTCGTTCAGTCGTCAGATGTTGGGACCAATACTCGGTGGCATTCCCCAAGGCATTGAACGACTAAGGGCCGCATGCACTAACCTCCCCACTGAAGAGGGGATCGCAGCTTAAAAAAAGCTTTGTATTTGGAAACTCCAGATACCTGGATTTCACATTGTGTACCTATCCGTAAGTATTCCTACTACCCTTCACTATGAACATGTTGAAGAGGAGCGAGAAGCTGTACGAACCGCATTTTCCAGCTTTTGTATGATCCCTGATGATCCCCGGCGCTTTTCTTTAGAGTCATTTTTCTTTCTCCGAAGTTAACGAAAACTTTCCAAAGCTGTACTGAACATCTAACACAACAGTGCTAAGCATGTTGCTGATGAGAACAAATGAGTTTTTGAAAAGTCGAATTTTTCGGTAAACCTCAAATTTCGACCTGTGGATCATCGAACATTTCATAACTTCAAAACATCATTTGTTCTTATCACGAACATGCTCAGCACTGTCAGGTTGGATAATCTGCACAACTTTGGAGGTTTTTCGTTAACTTCGGAAAAAGAAAAATGACTTTGAAGAAAAGCGCCGGGAATCATCAGGGATCATACAAAAGCTGGAAAATGCGGTTCGTACAGCTTCTCGCTCCTCTTCAACATGTTCATAGTGAAGGGTAGCAGGAATACTTACGGATAGGTACACAACGTGAAAACAGGTATCTGGAGTTTCGAAATATAAAGCTTTCTTTTAAGCTGCGATCCCCTCCCCGCGGGGATGTTAGTGCATGCGGCCCTAAGGGCGTGTTGAGATCCCCCTCTCCCTCTTGTTTCAATGTTGGTCTTATGAAATCGTGGAAACAGGTTTCTCCATCTATGGAGAACATCAGTACCTTTTTGGTCAGCATGTTGTATGTGTTATCTCTAAGCGCACTATATGACTTGCGGTATGGTTTGTCCTCAAGCGGAGTTCCTAGAGGTACCACCGCTCCCCAGCTCAACTCGCTGTCTCCTCTTTCTAACATGTTAAAGGCACCATCCACCCTAAGTTGAAGGGTCTTGAGCTTTTGGCAGCATATGATGGTAGGGCCCCTGTCAAGCCAATGCTCAGGTCGCGGCGGCGCAAATTGTCACTTCGGAAGCGAGAAACCCGCTTCAGAATGACGAAGATGCACGAGGACCCCCAGACGGCACCGCCCTCCCCATTCATGCCCGCCCATCCGTGAGCGCCCAGCCAATCACCGTTCCGAAGCCGGCCTGCGGGTTCTCCGGAACGGGGATTGTAGGGGATTCTTGCAAATTCTCGACTTCATATTCGGAATAGGATCAAAACATGGAAGTCGAGAATCTGGGTGGTGTTTTCTGAAAATGTAGACACTTCATAGGTAGGCGCCAGACTAAGCGACTATTTTGTTCAGCTGCAGAAGGCGCGCAGTAACGTTAAATCTGCGTACGATTGCATTAATTTTGCGCGGTCCTGTAACTGAAGCAGGCAATCGTGCGCAGATTTAACGCTCCCGCGCGCCTTCTGCAGCTGAACAAAATAGTCGTGAATAGCACATGTACAAAACTAAGTTGAAAAAAAAAATGATAATCAAGGTAAGGATCTGAGTTTCTGTGAGAGGTTGCGGATGTACAGGACATACTCGAGACCATACTGTAATGTCAGAATTGAAAGTTACCTACATGGGTCATGAAAAATGTACAAGTGACCTGCTTCTTTCCATAATCAATATAATTTTTAAAGTTTTTGGAATTTTAAGTTAACCTTTTGTATTAGGTTGTAAAGAAAGTTCCCGGGCATTTACGAAAATTTTTTTTTCATAACGCTGTAACTTCAAGTAGCTTGATTCTTTTCAAAGCTACAAACTTCATTGCAAAGACAATTTTGTCCACAGCATATATTTGTCTTGCTGGCTTCGCACCACCTCACTGCGGTCCACCAGCATGCGCAGAGGGGAAAAAGGTCGTCGCGAAATGTGGCCTGTTTGTGCAGGATTATCTCAGGCATGATGAGAGCTGGAGAGCCCAGATGCTGTAGTTATTCAAAGATCTGCTGGGGCCATTGTGGGGACCATTCATATTCTTGAAGCACCACCTGCAAAAAAATTTTTTTTTTCAAAAACTTTGAAAAATCGGCCATTTTTTGTCCCTAAAAATGCACCATTTTTCGAGTAAGTGACTTTGAAGTCTTCTAGTTCTGCACAGAAAGGAGCAAATCTCTGATTAGTGCGAACATTGTTGGGGTAATGCCTTACACATCTTTTGGACCCATCATCCAGGCGTGGCGATCCCCGCAGAAGCGACGCCAGCTGCGAAAAGAGTTGCAGTCAGAGGCAAGTTCGACAGCATGTAATCACTGAGCGCAAATCGCAAAACTCGAGTACACCGGCGGGTCAGAAGTTAACAGACTTCTCAATCAAATTACCCAAAATTTGGACGAAATTTTTTTAACTGCAGAAGAAAATGGCCGTAGGAAGAGAAATTATGAAATTTTTGTGGTTGGAAAAATTTCTTTTCTTGACGTGCAGATCAAACACGTCTTGGCATCGATAAAAATCAGAAGCCGTATTGAAAACTTTAGGCTTCCCTCTACTGAACAGTATAAAGAACTTGGAGTCAAAGTTCGACCGAGCGCCGAAAAAATGCGTTTGAAAATGAAATTTCCAAAAGTGCCCGGGAACTTTCTTTATAACCTAATAAGAAATCTTTTCGGGTGCCTGCCGCCACTTTCTTTTTTACTAAAATTTCGGGCCCATGGAACCGCAAGAATTTCCGGGAGCATTCCAAAAATTTTTTCGGAATGCGTGGCTAATGCAATGCACCTTTATTTTTTAAAAAATTTCTGTTTCATGCCATGCACCTCTATTTTGGAAAGTTTCTGTTCCCCCCCCCCCCCCCCCGCCCTCGCGAGCAAGTCCTGGATACGCCACTGCTTTGATGGGATTCTCGTTATCTTCGGAGTCGGAGTAGTTACCAAATAAGGGGTAAGAACGACATGAAACCGCAGTCAAGTTGGCAGAGGCTGTGAACAAGAAAAGGTATCTGTTTGTATCTCAACGACCAAATCTTGGCAACCGTTTATATTGTGACTTGCAATACGAATGAAGATCTTGATGCGCACTCAGCTAGTTGCTTTTGAAGTAAGTTCTTCCTCAGATTCGCTGAAGGAGTCTTAGGAGGCACACACACCGTGTTACTCTTATTTCAAAATCAAACCTGGTATTGGAAACGAATACTTGCCACACTAGCTTGACCAGTGCACATGTGCGTCGCAATCATCGTCAGCCTTTCCACAAAAATTTATCTCTTCTCAAACATTCATCTTAGTTTTCCTTCTCGATCATGGGCGTTCTGCAAAACAGAAGATATGCTTGGACAGCGTTTGTACTTCACCATCTGTGCACACCTCTTGAACACATAGCCTAGCAAATGTCTTTTCTGCATAGTGGAGTAGTTGAATGACTACAGTAAAACTTAAACATTTCTTCAAGCTACTTGAGATTCTATCTTCAGGTCAGATGATACCCATGCAAATTCAAAATACCGTTGCTCGTGCAATTGTACAGAGAGCTATTGATGCAAGAAGCTATTTGGGGTTGTTACCCGTCATACCGGGCGAATCACTCCTCGGGAAGGATCGCTATGGTATATTGTTGCAGGTGATCTGCCTTGAAATCATCATTTTGATTGAGTTTTGCGGTTTTCGCTATGTGTGATTGTCGCTAAATTTTTTTGCTTTTTACAGGTCAATAAGTACGTAAGTGATCATCATGCAATGAAACTTCACGCTATAGGACGCCAACGGTTTCGGGTAATTACCTTAGAGAACGCTAATTCTAGGTAACTTTGATATACTGATTTTTCGACACTGAGCAGTTTCCCTTGTAGCACAGCTGTAGCCCGAGTTGAGGTATTGAATGAGACTACGCGTATACCTTTGTTACAAGCTATCTGTCCACCGAATGCTTGGAAGTCGCCTGAAGAAACGGTATCAGCCGTTGTAGGAAATGCATCTATCAATTAATGGTATTTTAGAAACTTGCCATTTGTTCAGAAGTTTCGAATATCCCATCTTTCGTTGTGGATGACGCGAATCTGGTTTGTTTGTTGGACGTAAATCCTCCACCTCATTCCATCCTTATAGGACAAACAATGTCAGCGATTAGGGAATTGGATGAAAATGTGGTTTTCGAGTGAAAAAATACAGGGTGCTCTGGATCTGGTACTATCCATTCGCATTGATTGAGACGTGTGATTCTCATCCCAATTTCTTTTGCAGGGTCCTATCAGTTTCAGTTACTGGGCTGCTCGCAATATTCCAATGACCATGTCCACAAAGTATGAGCATTTAGTCGAGGACGAAGCGAATCTACGAATTGCTAGCCTTTTGAATCTCATTGATCAAGTACGAGATATTCAACCATACATCATATTTCCAAATGGGGCTTTTAGATGACCGACTTGGTCTGCCGTGGATGTGGACTGCTAATATGCAGTATTCGAGACATCGTAAATATGAATAGTGAAGGGACAAGCTCCTTATTTGTAAATAGCTGTAAGTGCTTTTAACATCAAACAGGATATTGTCGACCATGTATCTTATATTCAGCTGGTTATATACACGAAATGGTGACTGTATCAGTCGCCCAAAATTTCGTACCCCGCGATCAACCTTGCGCGAAGTTCAGCTGGTTTCCAGGGTGAGTTTCTCACTATGAGAGTGCATTCTTTAGTTTCTTATTATCAGTGTCAGTGCACCACGGGCTTACACGCAAATTTTATCTAATTCTCCAAAAGGTCACGGTTGCTGAGAAAACTCGAGAGAACTTGTTAATGAGTACAGTTTTTGCATTTTCATGTTGACGAAGGTTGTATAAAAATTCCCTGATATTTGCCATGATCAAAAATCGGGGAATTATCCATTGGCTGCATTTTATTTCCTTCTCCAATATGTGCACATTCTGCATAGGGTTGGCAGGTGGCAATTTGAATGTCACTTTTTTCTATGATGACCTGAAGATAAAATACTTTCTGTGTAGGTGTCATCTTACTATAAAATACTTTCCGTTCATGACATGCATTAGTTTTGGAGTGCAAATGTGAGTTTCATCGTCTAAGCGATTTCTGTAGGAAAGCCAGTCGTATCCGCTAAATGTTTGCTGAACATTAGCACCACCAGTCGTAGTGATGGCAACACCTTCTCTTGGCATATCTAGAAATTTCAGGTACAAATGGCAAATCATTGAGTGCCGGTTTTGCATGGATCATCTAGGCTGGGAATTTACTTCGCGTCGCTACAATCCTGCGAAGTTCTATGGCATAACAAGAAAAGCTGTGGTGCCTAAAAAGGCGTCCGCAGAAAGCCAGGAAGAGCATGTTTAGTTTTTCCCAACTTGTGCGGGTCACATTTCTTGGTGCAACTTCGGTTGATATTCTTCCTAGGTCCCTACTAGTCTTCACTGTAGATGTATAATATATGAGTTTGTATTTGTGCATATGTACATAATTTCTTATGAAGAAGTTGAATAGCTTCTCTGGCTGCTAAGTTAGTAAGCATGTCATCATCAGCTACAAGTAAATGTACTTCATTTCCACTCAGCGCATACGCAACCACTTTCTAGCTACTAGCTTTTTGGAATAAACAATTTCGTATGGCGCGTGCTGTTATGAGTGTAGCACTTGGTCTATGACCGCGCTACTCGTTAGCGATCTTCTTCCCCTTTGTTATCGAGATCTGGTATGCAAGGTTCCGCTAAAGATATGGCCGACATCAAGCCGAATCATACAATTTACATCAACAACCTCAATGAAAAGGTTAAGAAAGAAGGTTGGTTTTTTATCACATCTTTGCCACACTTGTAACATATTTTATGAGTGCATAAGTTTAGAGTTGAAGAAAGCTTTGCATGCAATCTTCACACAGTTCGGAGAAATTGTCAGTATTATGTGTTTCAAAACGCTGCGAATGCGTGGACAAGCTCATATCATTTTCAAAGAGGTAGTGTGATTGGGATTATTTTCCATTGAGTTTGTCCCAATTCGTGTTACGTTTCAGATCTCATCGGCATCGAATGCTTTGCGTGCTATGCAAGGGTTTCCGTTTTATGACAAACCTATGGTGCGTAAGCTTCTTATCAGTGCAGTTTTTATGAAGAAGATCAGTTGAAGTGCTGATAATTTAGCGGATTCAATACGCACGTGAAGACTCAGATGTCATCGCCAAGGCAAAGGGGACGTATGTGGAAAGAGCCGCCCGAGTTCCTGTGCGCATTCCGAAGAAGAAGAAGGTATGTTCTTTCAAGGTCACCTAGGTCTTTCGCAGAGTTGGCTTGGTTAATGCTTTCCCAACTGCATGTTTTGAGTGTTAGCGCAAAGTGCTGTGATTGGACGAATGTTTCGTTTATGAAAATTGTTAGCTATAGTTTTTTAGTTTATTTTTTTTACAGACCAAAGGAGCTGGAAGAGCTCCCGGTGAGGATGGTCCTGCTCCACCCAACAAAATCCTGTTCTGCACTAATCTGCCAGATGAAGCGACAACTGACATGCTTCAAATTCTATTCAATCAGTTAGTGCTTTGTTACCTAAAATTTTCATCTAAACCTTGATTTCCTATCAGATTTCCTGGTCTCAAGGATATTCGTTTGGTGCCAAACCGTTCTGGAATTGCTTTCGTTGAATTCGAGACTGAAGAGTTGGCAGCACCTGCTAGAATAGCATTAAATAACTTTAAGATCACTCCTGAACAACAAATGAAGGTAGACTATGCCAAAAAGTAAAGTTCAGTGATTATCACTATTTCTGGTGAAGTCTATTTGGTTGTTTATAATGATCTTCATTGACCTCATGGCAATTGCTGTTTGAATGATACTGTTGTTGCTATTGCTGTTTCTATCCGAATAAATGTACGAATTTTTCCGTAAAAAGGAACGGCGAGTGGTTTGCCCTTCTTATCGTTTATTTTTGCTACTGTACATCTTGCCCGGCCTTATGTTCCCTACAGATATATGGCCAAATCAGCAATGAGTTTGGCGCTATCCTTAGGACCTTCAATTTTGCGGTGTGTTCGAGTTTTTTGCAGCAAAAGTAGAGATACACGCTTAATACACAGCTTCAGTGCGTCGTATTCTCCGTTACGATCTTGTGGGAAAATTGCATCTGGCTGTGCTAGACCGGAAGAAACAAACTGTTGGAACTGTCGAGATGCCGTGAACTGCACTGAAAAGTTCTTCTGTGATCACTGTAAGTGTTGTTGTCAAATCGAAAAGTGAATGTCATCAACTTGGAGGGTCTCAGCTTACAGTGCTGCAATGGGAGACCCTCCAGCTAATCTATCAGTGAAGTAGGGAGCGAAAAAGCGTTTTTGGGAAGCTCAAAATTTGTTCCGGGGGTCTTTCGGACCCCGTCCACTTCTTGCACTTAATATGGAGCAAACGCGGACGAGAGTTCTAGAAAAACTCATTTTTGCCATTTCAAGTGCTCGAAAGCTCAGATATGGCTTTAGCATGGCGAGAAGGTTCCGAAGAGGTGAAAAACTAAAGAGAGAAATTTTACCGGGACACTGCCTTTGAGCGGATACAAAGTCTTGCCACCATGTCTAATCACTTACTGTAATATCCACATTCATGTCATCGCCACTCTGAGTGATTTCAAAATTATGCGAGGAAAAACTTGTTTTCTTATTATTCTTACAGAAGTTTGGATGTTATAGTTAGGAGCGTAAAGAAATCAAATGTGTCAAGGAAAATTTTATTCTGAATGTTTGCAAGATGTGATAGTATTAGTCGCCGCATCTTGAAATCAGATGGCTGAGGTTTTATTTGTGCATTGAAAGTTGCTTTTGGTTGTTTATGGAGTATGGGCACTGAAGCCATCAGTTTGAGGTAAGTTATAAAACTCAGCGTGCTGACAGTGAAGGTGAAGGTAGTACTCAGAATCGTCTGTAACCAGATGTTGAACTTTGTCAGTGTTAGTTTTTTTAAGTAAAGTGACGTTGCAGTTGAATATTGCAGAAGTTCATAGAAAGTTGTTGATGTACAAAATCGAACTATCGGATCATATTTTGCATTTCCTTGAAATTTCACTTCGGGAAATCATTTTGTTGCATTCACAGGTCATTCCATTCAACCCCCTCCTCCTAGTCAGAATATGTTCGAGTATCTCGGATTTCCGGTATCGTTTGAAATAGAGGATTCTGAGCTGAAGAAAAGGTGAGTTTCGACATTTCTTTTGCCCATGGGAGAAAAAAGCGTACTCAGGTTTCGAGAACTGCAGGCTACCGTTCATCCTGACAAATTCACTCAGGCCTCTAAGCATGAAAGGGAGATCTCAGATGAGCATTCAAGAAAGCTGAACGAGTCGTACAAGACATTGTCGGAACCGTTTCTTCGTGCAAAATACTTGCTGAAGATTTTGGGGGAAAAGGAAACAAAAGGTATGATCCCCAGTTCTAGTATCTGCTTGATCTCTGAATGGATTGAATTTTTTTTTACAATTTCATTACACTTGTAGGAAAAGACTTAGATCCCGCTTCGCTAATGGAAATGATGGAATGGAATGAAAAAGTTTCTGAGATGACGAGCGAGGGCGAACTCTCTGCTGAGAAGGAAACCGTTCAAAAGGAGATCGACAGTATTATGAAGGAGCTGGGGAAACAATTCGCTAATAAGAGCTTAAATGGTGTGCGCATAAACATCACTCGCCTGAGCTATCTGTATTCTTTAAGGACTGCTATTAATAAAAAGCTAGAGGATCTGATGGGTATGTAAAAATAGAATGATTTTGCTCTATTAAGCGAATTTCGTGTGAAAATAGTAGAAACATTCCTGCTGTGATGTATAGCTAACCATTTCGCTGTAGGTCTTACATTGCTCTATATGAAGAAAGTGCAATTTGCATTCTGAGAATGTACTAGTCAAGCTCAAAAGAATAGGTGTAGATTTTCGATAGAATAAAAGTGTAGTTACGACAGTCGGTTGTCAGCTCAGTGTAAAACATGTTTTGTTTCAAATTTCACTACTATTGTAATATGCTAGTGGAATGCATGTGATCGCCTTACATTTGAACAAAAAGTCACGGAAAATCTTGCCAATCGAGTTAGTTTTTATTTTCGTCATCAGTGTCGCATTTTGCGGCGCAAATGCGACCCGAGGTATCAATCGTTGTTTGAGTAGCGTCCATTTTGAACGCTATGCCTAACTGTGTCATTCCTGATAACGATAAATCAGTCTACCACAAAACCACCGTGCACACATACGACAATCAGCATGTTCACATACCCTCTGTGCCAACTCCCAGCGCCATAGCTCAAAAATGCAAAGAATTGATAAAATCGATATCGATCGACAACGAAAAGTGGCCTACGACGCCCGTCCCGCACCGAAGTGGCATCAAAGTTTGGGCCGGATCGGTTCAGAAATGGGCGTAAGCCACACTCGAAAATTTTCAAAGGATACTTCTTCTTTTGAGGCTCTATAACCGCCAAGAGAAAAAAGAGGCATAAGCCAATCCGAATTTTTAAAGTTTCAAAAATTATTTTAAAGGCACCGTTCACCCAAAATGGGGTCACCGAAAATTTGTTGCCTAACAGTGGCGGGGCCTCCAGTCGCGTACCTGCTCAGCTCGCGCTGTCGAAAATTCTTCCGAAAATTGCTTCGAAATCGCTGCGGATGACGGATTCGCCACTCCCTTTTGAGTGGACGTGAGGTCATCCCGCTCATTTGTCATCTTCCAGCCAATCACCGCACCGGGAACTTGCCTTGCAGGTCCTGCGGAACAAGAGTTGTCGGGGCTTCCGCGGATTCTCGACTTGATAATCTAAGTCAGGGACATGAGAAAGCCCCTGGAACAAGAAAACATGGAAGCGAGAATTTGGGTGGGCGGTATAGTGTAACCAGGGTTGAGCAAGGGGTATGCCCCACATCGCCAGCTCCGACTCCCCTCCTCCCCCAACAATGACGTAAAGGCTTTACCAAGCATAACTAATAGTATATTTAGTGATTATCATGTTAAATAACCCCTGTGGGTTATGTTTTAGCGAATTCTGAGGTTTCCCAATATCGAGACACCCAAGTGAAGTGGCCATTTTCAAACATGCTTAACTATATTTGAACAGTGAATTAGCTATCTCTTTTTGTACTCAAAAAGCGCTAATTCATGTTCGCCTATACCTTCAGAACCTGCTTCAAGTAACCATCAGACTAGGGGATTAGGAGCCAGCCAAAATGTCGTTTGTCCCATTTTCCGCTCGCGGTGGTTGGCTTCCAGCAGTTATTGCTCAAACAAAAGAAGAATCAGTTTCAAGCACTTTTACAGAAATTACGAGATTATGGCTTTCGAAATGTATTTATTTCTCGGGTGAGGGAACTTAGGAACCCGAGCCTAATTAGCCCGACTCGGGGAGTGCTTGCAGGATACACTCATGCCTCCGATTGCTCCCTAGTACAAAGCGACAACCTAAGCCAGCCCCGCCCCTCTGAGAGCCTGTTTTGGAACCTGGCCAAGGAATGCTGAGAATCTCAACTGAACTTCAGGTCACTGATACTGACTACTAACCAAGAAGCTTCAAAATGATCGTACAAAGGTCAAATTAGGCTCAAACGACAGAGGAAAATTGTGCCATCATTATAACGTATCTATTGATTGAAACTTGGAACAAAACATTCCTTTTTCTGTTCAAAAGCTTATTTAAATATCAGATATAGACAAAACACTGAGCGATTATTCAAGAAATTCTGAAGCTTTCCAAAACAATTTTTTTGAATGCCAAATCCGGGAAAGAGATTAGAAAACTATTTGAGAAAGGACTCAAAAACTTCAAAAAAAAAGAGTAGTTATTTAAGTGCTGAAATTCGGGCAAAAGACTAGAGAATCAATCAGGAAATGACAGTCTAAAAACTTCTCAAAATAATATTCATTTATATGGTGGAATGCGGGTAAAAGACATCAAAAAATGACATTCAGTAATCATAACTATCAGAGTTGCCTGAAAAGAAATAAAAATAAAAATCGAGATTATTGATAGTAACGATAAGTATTAGGTTGGTGCAAAAGGAATGGCCGATTTGCGAATTCTCAATTTGACGTGCTATAACTTTCTAAAGAATCCACATTTCTGAATGCGGTAAAGACCCTCAGAAGCAGCAAATCTTTCGCAATACAGCGCATACTTATTTATACTCAAACCATAAAAGGGAAGAGAAATACGGACTAAAAGACAAAGAAGGTTCTTCTTCTAGGACCTTGTTTTTGACAGTTCATAACTTCCTTCAAAGTTTTTTAGTATAAATGATAAGTGGCCTATCTTGTAGCCACAAGCCAGTAGTACAAAATGCAATAAAAAGAATTCGGACAAAAAAGTTTGCGAAAAAGAGAAAAATTGAAATTTAAAATTTCTCAGTTTTTCAACATTTTTTCACTGTGCCTCAAAGTCCGGAATATAGAATTATCTGATTTTCTACGTACTGAACAGCTGGATGTTTTTGCAAAAACTGGTAATAAGTGTCCTAGCCCTACGCTTACAGAATTGAGCAAAGCTTCGGTGACTGACTTCCTCAGAAGGAAATTATGGGTCATAAAATGACCGCAACAGCTACTCAGCGCCGATATCTCAGTCTGGATAATTTCAAAGAATGCAGTTAAGTACACATAATGTAGACAATTTCTATTACATACAAGAGCTAAATTTTCGAAGAAATCCCATTGATACGCGCTTAAATTCTGGCCGGAAAAGTGAATGCAATGAAATTCTGAATTTAGATGCGGTTATTTGAAGCTCAGTAACTTTACAAGAAATGATGATGAGAGCCCGTTTCAAGCACCATTAGATAGAGCATGAAAACAGCATCGCGATGGTATACTACATCTATTGTTAAAAAGAAGAATTGATGGGAAAAGGTTGCCCTGAAGAAAGGCTTGGAAAATCGGCCATTGCACCAATCTAATAATTTTTGTACTTTACGCTACCTTTATTAGGAAAATTTCGCCTCAAACTGTTCTTCCAACCTTTTCCTGCCGTAGGTTGAGGTCATTGCTTACAACATTCTTGGCGATGTTCTTCGCACATCAGAATCGTTTGTTGACAGACTGTCTTTGATCAGCAATATCAATAGTGAAGCCTTTAAACCGTCATCCTTGCATGATTCTCTAGTATTTCACGCGAATTTCAGCTCACAAACAAATATGGAAAATTTTAACTTTAACTTTTTTACTGGATAATTTTCTGATCTTTTGTCTAATCATAAGAACACAAGTTAGCTATTATTTCTGATAAGTTCCTAAACTGTCATTTCTTGAATGGTTTTCTGGTTCTGAACTCGAGCACTTTGTCATTTCTTGAATGGGTTTTCTAGTCTTTCACCTTAACTTCACCACCTACTTGTTAGATGAACTATTTTTCAAGAAGTTTTTGAGCTGCCATTTCTCAAATGATTAGTTTAGTCTAGCCCTTGTCTTTTGTCCTTTCATTTGAAATTAGCACTCAAATAAATTATTTTTGAAATGGTTGACGATTTCTCAAATTATTTTCCCGTGTTTCGTGTGTTGACACTTAAATGAACTTCTAAAAAAAGTTGGGTTCCATCAATTTCAATTTCAGTTTCAATTAGTAGATACGTTACAATGACACGGTTTTTTTATTTCTTTTGAACCTAATTTCACCTTTGTACGGTCATTTTGAAGGTTTTTGGCTAAGAGCCAGTTTCATTGACCTGAAGTTCAGATGGGATTTTCAGCATTCCTTGGCCAAGTTCCAAAACAGGCTCTCAGAGGGGCGGGGCTTAGATTTAGCCGTGTTCTAGGGAGCAATCGGAGATAGCGAGCATGAATGTATCCTGCAGCATAGGTGCGATAGTGTGAGAATTTTCTCACCCCCTCTTCCCCTGAGCCAGGACCAAGATGTCCCCCTTCACCAAAAGCCGAGAAAAAATCAACAGTGAGGTAAGGTTAAGCAAAGGAGATATTTGTACGTGAATTGTTTGTACAGGAATGGAGGAGTCTGTTGAAAAAGGTGCTGTGACGGGTATGAGTAGTGATTTCTGGACATTTTGGAGTTTTTAACATAAAAAAATTCATAACTTTCGACACATCTTTTACGGCGAGATCGTCACCGTTGGAACCGCATCGTCCTCCGCTTTCAAAAAGCATATGGCATATCTGAGATCCATTCAAGAAAGTGCGGTAAAAGGTGTGCCTAGTGATTTTTGGGAATTTTCGAGTTAACGTAAAAAAATTAATAAATTTTGTAGATGAACATCTTGTACGCCGTGATGGCCACCATTGAAACCGTCTCGTCCTTCGCTCCCAGAAAATATATACTTTGCCTGGAGTCCGTTAAAAGAAAGTGCCTGGGTGAAGGGTGTCCTAGTGATTTCTGGTGATTTTCGAGTTTTTAACATAAAAAATTCATAACTTTTGTAGATGAACATCTTGTACGAGGTGATGGTCACTCTTGAAACCGCCTCGTCCTCCGCTTTCAGAAAATATATATTTTGCCTGGGGTCCATTAGAAAAAGTGCCGGGTGAAGGGTGGGTGAGACTTTTATAATGGGAGTGCTCAAGTACAGGCTTTTTTACCATTGTAAAAAGACGTCAGAAGTTACGGATTTTTCTATCCTAAAAACTCGTAAATATCCAGAAATCACTACCCATCACCAGGCACTTTCTCAATAGACTCCAGGCAAACTATATATTCTCTAAAAGCGGAAGATAAGATGGTTTTAAAAACATTTCCCTTGCTGACGTTGCTGTTC